TGGACCAGGAAGCGCATTCTGAGCAGCTGCGTTTGCTTTAGGGACAGAAGAACTCATCCTAAGCTACTGAGCTATTTTTATGGACTGATCAGTTCAACGTGAGCTCCAGGGTTCTTTTTATGAACTAACGAGTTCAACGTGAGCTCTAAGGCTATTATTATGGACTAACGAGGTCGCCGTGAGCTCCAGGACTCTTTTTATGAACTAACGAATTCATCGTGAACTCCAGGACTCTTTTTATGAACTAACGAGTTCATCGCGAGCTTTAAAGCTCTTTTTATGCACTAACGAGTTCGTCATGAGCTCCAGGACTCTTTTTATGAACTAACGAGTTCGTCGTGAGCTCCAGGGCTCTTTTTATGAACTAACGAGTTCATCGTGAGCTCTAAGACTCTTTTATGCACTAATGAGTTCGTCGTGAGCTCTAGGGCTCTTTTTATGAACTAAGGAGTTCTTCGTGAGCTCTAAGGCTCTTATTACGGACTAATGAGTTTGTCGTGAGCTCTAGGACTCTTTTTATGAACTAACGAGTTCATCGTGAGCTCTAAAGCTCTTATTACGGACTAATGAGTTCGTCGTGAGCTCCAGGGCTCTTTTTATGAACTAACGAGTTCGTCGTGAGCTCCAGGACTTTTTTTTATGAACTAACAAGTTCATCGTAAGCTCTAAGGCTCTTTTTATGAACTAACGAGTTCGTCGTGAGCTCCTGGGGTCTTCGTAAAAGTGAATGAACTACAGACTTGCTACTTTATTAATAATCATATTATAGGACAAACTTACTGAAATTTTTTTCTAAAATGTTCTGTATTCCAGGAGTGGGGTAAAATTTTCGCCGAGTCTGCTTTCATCTGGGGTGGCCACCTTAGGAATTTTTTGTTTTGTACCTTATACAAGATTTGCGATATTTGTTGCGGTGAGTGGAGGGACCTGCCGAGGTGCATACCTCGGCTACCACTCTGGATGAGGTGGTCCCAAGCGATCTCTAACGCCTCCCCTTCTTTTAGGGGACTGATATCTGTCTCTTCTTGGAGACCTGTCTCGTTCTCTTTTCTTTTCTTCTTTCCCTTTCTCCTTTCTTGACGAAGAGCTCCCGACCTTGGAGAGGAGCGCTTCCTCACCATTTATATACTTTTCTGCTTTGGCAAACATCTCCGCCATACTAGCCTAGGGGTTCTTTGAGATAAAAAATATCAGATCTTTTGACTGAACTCCCAGACCTGCTATGAAGGCTGTAAAAACAAATTTTTCGTCTGGGACATCCACCTTCAAGGATTCTGAGTTTAACCATTGGACATAAGACCGTAGGTTCTCATCAGGTCCATGTTTCACATTTAACAAATGGTAGCCCAGTTTCCTATAGGTCCGAGCTCCGATGAAGTGGGACACAAACGAGATTGACAACTCTTTAAAAGAGGAAATCGAGGCTGGGGGGAGTTTGTTGAACCATGTTAAGGCTGAGCCCTTCAAGGTGATAGCAAAGGCCCTACATCTCACTGGATCTTGATATCCATGCAACTCCATTTGATTTTTGTAGGTGTTGAGGTGGTCCATGAGATCTTTTGTCCCATCGAAAGCATCCACCTACGACATTCTGAATTTAGGTGGGAGAGGGAAGTGCAGCACCCCAGCAGTGAATGAGGATTCGGTTTGCTGCACCAAGGCATCCATAGTGACTGGGGCTTTGCCCTTCACTGCCTTCTTCATCTGGCTGAGCTCTTGCTGGATGTCTTTGAAACGTTGCTCCCAATGGTGTTCTCTTCTCTCCTGATGATAAGGGAATAAGTCATTTCCCTCGCATTCCTTATACTGACTTTGCACTTCCTCGTTGTGACCATTTCTAGGGGGTAGGCGAGGTTTTTGCCCCAAGGGCTGACTATTCTGTCCCACCTCATTAACTTTTCTGAGGGGGTTGAGATACGGTTGCTCCCTTGGTGGTGGATTATTCTGGCCTCCTTGGGCCGGTCTCACCTCCTATGGGCGTTGTAGGAGCTTTAAGAGCTCTTCGTTCTGTTTTATCATACGTTCATTGAGAAGACGAAGGGCCTCCATCTCATTATTCATGGGAAGGCTCCCCATGTGGGGATCGACTTCTTGCACGTTTTCGGGTTGTCTGCTATTTATGGCTTCCTGTTGATCTTACATTCGTAGAGAATTGGTCTAACTTCAGCTCATGTTTCACGTTGATACCATCAGTCACTGAAAAATCAGCTTTATTTGTAACAGGAACAATCGTTCCCACAGACGGCGCCAAACTGATGGTGTATTTCAACGTGGTGCAATTTTGTGATGATGAGTAAATGAAAGAAATAATATTGGAATTATTGGGATCTGAACTACTAGACTCGAGGGAATGATACTGAGAATTGTTGGAGAGTTGGGGAATTAACACAGTAGAAATATAATGGTTTACTAGCTCGGAAGCTCGGCTAATCCACTATTCAATGGAGATTTTTACTCATTCCTTCACTATTTACTATACCAAAAGGTTTACAGAATGTAAGATGTGATACTCGGGTTCTGCCCCTCTGTTGGGGCGTTACATAGTATTTATAGGGCTTTTCCTAATTCTACGGGATCCGCCCCGAGATCTTCGCCATTTATCCGAGGAATGCTCCTTGAGCTTAGGAGGAGATCTTTCCTGGATGAGAGTTTTATGCTTCGATTATGACTCTTTGCTGCCTCTAGGGTTTTTGTTGACAAATAGCTATCTCTTTATTACTTCTGCTGCTGCTTCGATTAGGCTGAGCTTTACTCTGGTTTTATGAGCTCTGTGCGTCTGACCTCCGCTCTCGAGCTCATACTTGGGAATTGCTTTAAGTATCATCAGTTTCTATTTTTAAGGAGACCGAAGTAAATCAGTGATAAAATTAAAATTCTAATATTTCGAGATGTTTCATAATATTACTTGATATCTATAATATAAAATAGGGCGGCTTCAACATCCAATGGTCTCAAATCAATTCATTCATCCAACGGTCTAGAAGTTAAAACGTATGAGAGTTTGAATTTCTCCCCAATCAAACGGCCTAAAATTCATTCATCCAACGACAATTAATAGTCTTTCTTTTCCCCCCAAATTCATCTTTTTTTCACTCATTATCTTTCAAAATCAAACCATCCTCAGTCACTTCATCTGTCAGAGATGTAGCCTCCCCTTACATCTTTTTTTTTTCCCAGACATCTCTCAAGCCATGTCTTTGCTTCATTGCTGTTTCTTTTTTTTTTTCCACCGTCAATCTTCTCTCTTTCTCTCTCTTTGTCTGTCTTACGCCCTAGCGACACCACCAGCGTCTCCATTCCTTTGGCAAACCATCCCAGCGTCTCCCTAGATATACTCTGTGTGTGTGTGTGTGTGATCTCATCCTTCTTCAATCTCATCTCACCCTTCTCCCAAATGCCACACTCCAGCCAGTCACGAGCGACGATCACTAATGCCACCAGCCTCTTATCTGTTTGATTGTTCCCTGTTTAAGAACTATGTACATTGTCTTCAGACACGTGACATAGGACAAGTTTAGACTTTTAATTTAGTATGTGTCCGAGTTTAGTGCTTGAATATTTAACGTTTAAATTTAATATTCGATGTTTTTTAGTTGCTCCGTGCCTTCAGGCACGGGTTATCCCTAGTTTTGTAATATTTCAATACATTTGTACAATCGTTTCGGAATGTTTCAATATATTTTAAGATAATTTGATATATTTCAACCAATATTTTTAAAAAATAATTTTTTAATTTTTTTTATTATGTTTTTGAAACAGATCGAAATATTTTTGAAACACGTCAAAATATTTCTATTTCTTAGGTGACCAAAACAATACAACAAAATAAAAATTTGATCATTGGTCCTCACAACATAAGTTAGACACATATTCCATTAGGGGTGCAACTCGGGCGGGTTATACAAACAACCCTAAGTATATAATTTTCAACCCAAACCTTATCTCGGGTTGAGGGACTCAACTCGAGCACTGCTCAAGTTTAATTTGGGCGGGCTCGGGTTGAACCAAAAATAGATTTTTTGTTCTAGACCTGATACATATATTACATAATATTCGCCTAAATTAACAACCAACAACTTCAATTAAGTTTTTAACATAAAAACTATAATATTAAGAACTCAACGTTTGAGATAATGCAACCACAACCAAACAAAACACAAATAAACACAATTAGAATCGTTGTACAATCATAGAGTTCATTGCTTAAATAGTGAGGGCTTAAAAATGTATTTATATGGTTATGATTAATCGGGTTCAAGCCGATAATCGGTCAACCCGAGATTCGTTCAAATTGAATTCGGGTTGAGATTTTTTGATTCAAACTCAACCCAAGAATTAAAAACCTTAGCCCAAACCCTAATTTTTTCGGGTTAGACTCGGGTTAGCCCGCCTAAGTTGCACCCCTGTATTCCATAGCAAAAAAAGAAAAAAGAAAAAAAATGTTATTTGGACCTAAAAATCTGACATAATTTGTTAACCTAATGATGTGACTTTATTAGAACTATTGGATTAACACCAAGTTCCAATGTTTGATAGAACCCACAGTCAATCCAAAGGTCATAGTGAATTAGATCAGTAAATTAAGTCTCAATAATATTGTTTCAAAAAAAAAAAATGCAAAGAAGAAATTCAAACAACATTAAGTCTATTTTTTAAGTTCACGTAACATTATTTTTTTAAGGGAGATCATCTAGATCCGCTCCTTAACACATCACATATACATCAAACGAGCATGCAAATACCAACATGAACAATTGGACTTTTTTTTATCAGATCACTGCCACATACTTTAACCTAAGCTTCAAGGTGTGAGTGAAACAGCATTTGTCATCCATGCACCAGTAAGACATGCAGAGAGAGAAGACAAAGCTTTTCAGTTCTCATCAACAATCTCTACGTGTCAAACCCTAACCATCCTTTCATTCCTATATATACCAACCCAGTCTAATAGCCGCTTCACATCACAGCAAGTACCTCTCTCTCGGTTGCTGAATTTCACAATGGATTCTGCAAATTTTCTCTCTCTTGGACTTTGCTTTCTTTTTCTCTTTCATGGCGTTTTTGCTCAGATAGAGCGTCAACAACAATGGCAAGGCCTGCAGCAACAGGGACACCCGCAACGTGCAAGAAGTGGTGATGATCAGTGCCGTATTCAGAGGCTTAATGCCCAAGAACCCAACCGCCGGTATGAGTCCGAGGCCGGCACCACCGAGTTCTGGGACAGAAACGATGGGGAATTCGGGTGTGCCGGACTGAAAGCTGTTCGCCATGTCATCCAGGCTAGGGGCCTATTGTTGCCTGCTTACAACAGTGCTCCTCAGCTCGTTTATGTCGTCCAAGGCCAGCTCTCTCTCTCTCACACACACACACACACACACACAATTTGTTAGTGAGATAAGATTGTGAATTTGATTGAAATTGTTGTTGATTAATGCAGGTAGGGGTATTCAGGGAACTGTTCTTCCGGGTTGTGCTGAGACGTATGAAACAAGATCACAGTCAAGTACTGGTGACAGAGAGCAGAGGTCTACAGATCGGCATCAGAAAGTTCGACGAATTCAAGAGGGTGATATCCTTGCTTTGCCGGCAGGTTTATCTCATTGGGCTTATAACGACGGAGAGCTGCCTCTTATTTGCGTGGCAATCATCGACACCGGAAACGAAGCTAACCAGCTTGATGAGAAATACAGGGTATGATCCAATCCAAGGGGTTTTGGGACTTTAAAGCTAGAATGGGGGGGGAGATAGTGATGCTCTAGAAATTTAAGCCTTTTGCGAACGGAATAATGTTTAAATTCAAACTTCCTCAAATTAAAATTTGAAAACTCCATTAGCCGAGGCCACTGGGATTTATACCTCATAAATTTTTTAATCCCAATATAGATAATTTGTTTTTAACTACACTTGAGAGAAATTTAGTTGAAGTGTACGTAGACAAGTTGGACATCCCGAATCACCCGTCAAATTTTTGACGGAAGTGACCATGTGTTATTTTTTGGATTGTATCACTTGTTCAACCCCTAACCGCAATTAGAATACATACTTTAAAGACCAAATATATATAATTTTGATAATAGTTGAAATCCAGAATTAATTTACACACATCGTGAGAATGTTTTAAGTGGTTGTTTTTTTGGATATATTATGCACTCAGAAATTCTTCCTTGCTGGGAGCTCAGAACAAGAGGGAGGTCGTGGTGGTCAGGAAGGGCAAAGTCAAAGAGGCGAACAACAAGAATTCAAAAGCGTATTCAATGGCTTCGATCAGGAACTTCTAGCTGACATTTTCAATGTTGATTCTGAGACAGCTAGGAAATTACAGGGACAAGATGACCAGAGGGGCAGAATTGTCCGAGCCGACAGGTTCCAAGTCACAATCCCAGAATTCGACAGACAAGAAGAAGAAGAAGAAAGACAACATGGGAGGGGAAGTCCAAACCCCAATGGGTTAGAGGAAATTACATGCACATTGAAGCTTAGATACAACTTGGGCAGCCCTAGACGTGCTGATGTGTACAATCCACGTGGAGGACGTACTAGCAGCGTCAACAGTGACAAGCTTCCCGTCCTGAGCTTGCTCCGATTAAGTGCTAAGAGAGGGGTCCTCTATAAGGTAAGCAACGGTAATACAAAATCAACCATATTACTCCCCCACGTTAGTTCAAATGATAAGATTTTAAGGATTAATACCTCGAAATCTTGAGTTTTAATATGTAAAAAAGTCATATGACCGATTAAAACTTTATATATATATATACACACATACATACATATTTATATGTCCGTGTATTAAAGCACAAAAGTCATATGACCCACCCTTTTTCTCTCTCTGTCACTGCTCCTTTTCCCTCTCTCTCTCTCTTTTTTTTTTCACTTTTTGATGTTGAATTAGGTGGTTAGATGATGAAATAAAATTAGAATTGGCAGAATTGGGTGATTTATTGATGAAACTAAACTGAAATTTAGCAAAATTTTGCTGCAATTTTTTATTATTTGGGGTAATTTTTATAGAAATTCAATTTATTCGGATCGGATGTTTAATGATTAACAGATTTAAATTTAAATTATGATTTTGATATCCATCAAAATCAAATTTCAAAAATGGATTAAAATTCATATTGACTGAGATTTGGTCCGAATCCGATCCATTGAGGTTTAATCATAAGTCCAAAAATTTGGACAAAGTGTCGTGTTTTGTTGAGAGAGACCATTAGATGCTATGTTATTGCTAATTATGTTCATATATGTTGATTGTAGAATGCTATCTTGGCACCTCACTGGAACATAAATGCACATTCTGCAATGTACGTAACCAGAGGGAGTGGTCGTGTTCAAGTAGTCGGGGACTCCGGAAGATCCGTTTTCGATGGTGAGGTCCGAGAGGGACAGCTTTTAGTCATTCCACAAAACTACGCAGTGTTGAAGAAGGCTGGCAACGAAGGCCTTGAATTCGTGTCCTTCAAGACCAACGATAATGCGATGAGTATCCCTCTCGCCGGACGACTCTCTGCTCTCCGAGCTATGCCGGAGGAAGTGCTAGCAAACTCGTATGACATTTCTAGGGAAGAAGCCAGAAATTTGAAGTACAACAGAGATGAGCTGAGAGTGTTTGGGCCGCTGCGGTCTAAATCATCCAGGGAGTGATGGTTTAATGTAAAATTTAACAATGTTATCTATGAAGTACAATCTTGTCTTTAAGGAATAAAAAAGCCTCAAGGCATGGAGAGACTGGAGACTAAAGTACATGAGCTCCAGTCTAAGTACTTGTATTAGGGAATGGGGGTTTTAAATCACGAGTTAATAAAAACATGATTTTCTCTTATGGGTCCAGTACCATGTTCTGTGCATTGCTCTTCTTTTTTTAAATTTTTTGTTTCAACGGTTAGATGTGTCTAGACCAATTTACGCGTATCTCAACTAATTCGACTTTTGAGACAATTTTTTTCTTGTGGCAGCTATGTTTACTGTCACAAAAAATCATATTATTTGAGATGACTCATGGCCACCATAAAATTTTTTTGAAACTCCATTTATTATGACAGTTATCAAATAAGTTTTTATGACAATACTATCGCCACAAAATATTTTTTTGCCTTTAAAAACGTTTTTTTATAATGGTGAACACAACTGTAACTAAAAGTGTTTCAATAGGCCCTAATTCTTGTAATGCTGCTCCGGACAATGATAGATTATTTAGAACGCGAGTATTTATGAGGAAAAATTTCTTATTATGAAGTGATATTTCTTCTCTATAAATATAAAAAAGAAAAATACTATGCATACCAAAACTCAACCAAACAACCATGATCAATGGCATGATTTTCTTATTATTTATTTCTTTCATTTATTAATACTTGCATAATAAGTAGAGCACTATTCAAATTATTATCATCAACCATGTTTGGCAGAGGCTATGAGAGCAGCAATTTCTTCACTACGCTTGTCGCAATATATAACCATCTCATCTCTAGGGGGTAGCCTTTCCTTGACCACAGGGTGTTTAAGAAAATGACTCATCCAAGCAATGATGTTTGGGAATTTTGATGGGTCTAAAATTTTCATGGACCCAACTTCCTCCCAAACAGGCAACCAGAAAGGAATCCATCCTACAGCAAGGTCCAAATATCCAATGGCTTCCCCTCCAAAAAACTTTTTTCCTTTGAGCTCTCCCTCTATCTTTTCTAAGACCTCCCTGGCTGATTTCAGAGCATTTTCCTTTTCATCTCCTTGTGAGCACATAGCTATCCATGCAGTATCCAAAAGCTGTGCAAAAATAGTATCAGAGAATTGAAAAGGGGTCGAAAATAAAAAAAAAAAAGAATTAATGTAAGACCATAACTTACATTTATTGGGAGAGCCCCGTATCACATGGTGAGAGTCTCATGCATTAAACCGTTAAAAAAAAATTTCCCTAACTTCAAATGTTTGACACCTATATTTGAATGGGAAAATCCCATTTTTAAGCTAGTTGCCTAATTAAAAACAGTCCAATCTTAGTTAATCCCAATTAATAATAATTCAAGATGATCAGTAAAACGAGTATGGATATATTATCAGTACGGATTATTCTTACTGATAATATATTATTATGCTAGCAGTACTAAACTATCAGCTAAATTAGCTACGGAACATAAGGTCATTTAAGAAAGTCATACCACTAAGAGGGTTAAGGTTCACCATTTTCGATGTATAAGCGATGATAGACGTGGAACAACGACGTAGTAAAATTGGGTTGGGCATCCCGTAGTAGAAGCCTCCGAATGAAATCCCTCATTTTCATGTCGGCATGTTTCTAAACTAGGGATAATGGAGGAGTTTTCTCATATTGGATTCGAAAATTTCAAATATAGGGCCAAAATTTAACAAATTTAAAAAATAGTTATGAAAATAAGTGAAGTAGCTGTAATTATTACCTTCTCTTCAACAGACTTTGCCCAAAACCTGGCCATGGCTCTTTCATAAGGATCCTGAGGCAGCAATGGGGTCTGCTTCCAGGTCTCATCGATATACTCGAGAATAACAAACGACTCGGCCATGACTTTGCCATCATGAACCATCACAGGGACCTTCTGGTGCACAGGGTTGAGCTCCAAGAGCAGAGGGCTCTTGTTGAAGATGTCTTCTTCTATGTACTCATACTCAATACCCTTCAGTTTCAGAGCCCACTCTACCCTCAAGACAAATGGACTCACCCAGAACCCCACTAACTTCACCCCCTGGCTTGACATGAGATCTGTGGTTGCTTCTTCTGCCTCTGTCAATTGCTTCTTCTTATAGTCTGTTTTAAAGGAAAATTTCCGGTCACACTCGTTCTAATGATAGTTGTGCTCATTCTAATTTATCATATTTACAGAGATACCTTATCTATTTTTTGAATCTTCACTATCATCTCTCTTAATTTATATTTAAACATTACTAATTCCTATATTGTTAAACCACCGCTTCTAACTAAGAAAATCTAAAATATCAAAATTGCCCTTACATAAATCTCAAGCAATTTTTTTTACATAAAATTCGAGCTGGTTAAATATTATATTTTTACATATTTAAATTCGTGTCAATTAAAATTTATTTTTTAACATATTAAAATTTGAGCTAATTAAAATTAATTTGAGCCGATAAGACTTATTTTTTTACGTATTAAAATTCGAACTGATTTGAGTTCAATCCTGAGGTAATAACACTGATTAAAATTCGATTTGAGTCTATTAAAACTTATATTTTTTAAGTATTAAAATTTAGGCCGATTAAAATTCGATTTGAATTGATTAAAATTTATTTTTTACATATTAAAATTTAAATCAATTTAAATTTATATTTTTTACGTATTAAAATTTAGACCAATTAAAATTCAATTCGAGCTGATTAAAATTCGATTGGATTGACACACCATGCTTTATTTCACATCAGAACAAAACAATAAAGTGAATAAATTTAAATTTTATGAATGTGCTTAATAGACTTAATCTTTGTGTTATTAGATTCATCAAACATTCGAGGCATTAGGTTATGAACAAATGATAACTTGTGTGATGCATTGAGACCAGTTAAATGAGTTGGATTTAAGTTGACTAGCGTTCGACACGAACTTATAAATCAATCTATATATTTATTTTGTTTGTTAATTTTTGCATATTTAATAGGACAAAAATTAGCTAAAAATTAATTTTTCCAATTTGTAGAATTCTTTTTGCTGTTTGGATATATTTATCAGTCGAATATGCTGGTTAATCAATCTCAAGCATAGAGGTATAAAGGTAAAACTTACTGGCCACACACTAACAAAGGCTATCAATGAAGATTCAAAAAATAGAGGGGGTATCTTTAAAAATATGATAAAAGGGTGCCTAAATTTTTCCTTCTTAAATAGTATATCATCTATCCTAAATTCAACTAATATTCATTACTAGTTATTACCTGTGTCTGAAGGCACAAAATAATAAAAATGATAAACAGTAAAGATATTTGTATTCATATTCAAAATTAAATCACAAACATAGAGAGAAATAAAGAAATTTAAGCATCGATTTATAGTGGGGGTGAGAGATGGTGAGCGGCAGTGGTGATAGTAGAAGACGGTGATGGTTGTAGTGAGTGGTAATGACTGTAATGACGGTGGTGGGGGGGAGGGCGAGGGCTGCGGTGCTGATAGTGGTGGTAGCGGCAACTAGAACAGTGGTGGTGGCGACGGTGGTGGTAACGGCAATGGTGGCGGTGGTGGTAATAGAGGTAGTGGTGTGACGGTTTTAAACACTATTTTTAAAAAAAAATTATGAAAAATAATTTGTAAAAGTACTTTTTAAAAATCACTCCAAACACGCTGTTAGGACCTATTTTTTCTATTAAATTTATGGTGTTAATATTAGTCGTTAGATTAATTTTAAAGTAAAAATTAAAATATTTCAACTGCGAATAACAAAAGTCATTTTGTTTATCTTTTGAAATTTATATTATAAACTATTTTATTATATAGATATATACGTAAATTTCTCCCTAGGACACAAATAAATATTCCATTTTTGAGTAAAGTTGATGAAAATTATACCGAAGAAGGTGGAGACTTTTTTTATTTTTGATCATGATGTTTACCGGACTTTGAAGAGTGCCTTTTGGAACACGTGAGACGCCTTTGTTGAAATGGAACCGATGGCAGCCATGTGCTACGTAAGCCATGACATAAGAAGTTCACGGACTGACCTAATAGGGTGGAACGGTTACCATACGTCTATTTTGTTACGTGATATAATTATAGAATGATAATTCAATAATTAGAAAAAATTGAAATCACTTATTCAAATAACCACTCCTCTATGTAAAAAATAGCAATCGTCACGTATGAAAAAAGTGGAGTTTACTTGCCCATTTATTTGTTTACCGTTGAACCGTTACACCACTTAAAGATATTTATGTGGTGTAACCGTTACACTCAATATTTACTTTATTAACATCGTGAAAAGCCCCTAATTATAAATGGATTTGATTTGTGGGAGTTAAGTGGTGAACATCATCCTCTCTTCTTTAGGTTAATTCGAAAAGTGGTGAATCGCACTTTTGGGAATTTAATTCGTTGTCTTTCTGGAGAGAAACCAAAACAGTGAGATCTTGCTCTTGCACAAGTTGAATTTGCTTATAACAATATGCTCAATCGGTCAACTGGGAAGACCCTATTCCCAATTGTTTATTATTGTCCTCCACGCCATGCTTTAGACTTGGTTCCTCTGCCAAAATTTCCTGGTTTGAGTATTGCAGCAGAAAATATGGCAGATCGTATCAAGGATATTCAAGAAGATGTGCGAAAAAATTTGAAGGCATCTAATTTCAAATACAAGGCTGTTACAGATAAAAACAGACGGGCTCAGGTATTTGAAGAGGGGAATCTAGTGATGGTTTATTTGTGCAAAGGGCTGCCAATTGGCACATACAACGAGCTGCTAGACAAGAATTATGGTCCTTTCCAGATTGTGCAGAAAATTAATGATAATGCCTATGTCGTGGACCTTCCTGTAGATATGACCATCTCTCCTACTTTCGATGTTGCTGATTTGTTTGAATATCATCCTCCTGAGGTGTCGTCTTCTCAATTAATTAACTCGAGGTCGAGTTCTTTTCCAGTAGGGAAGACTGATGTAGAACAGATTGCTGCTTAAGTTTAGGGTTTTTGATTTATGTTGTTAATTAGAATTTGTTTATTTTTGGAATTTTTAGTACTTTTCCTTATTTTAGTTATTTTTTTTCCTAAAGTTCTAGTTCTAGTTCTAGTCGAATTAGGTTTTGCAGCCTATATAAAGGCTATTTCTTTTCATTGAAAGGTTTACTTTTCATTCGATAAAGAATTTTCTTTCTGAGATCTTATTCAAACCGATAACCCTCTATTATTGGCATTGTGGCTGTACTTCGAAGCATAAAGCGAGTCAATTAAACCGGGCAGCAAATGGTCTAAGTAGGGGGGCATTGTTGCTAGTCACAATATGGACTGAAGTGATTGGGTTTGATTGTCTCAAGGAGCTTTATGCAGACGATGAAGATTTTAGGATATTTGAGCAAAATGTCAGTCAAGACCTTCCATTGACATAATGCATATTCAAGAGGGTTATCAGTTTTGAGGATGCCAATTGCGCATCCCGAGGAGTTCACTACGAGATCAAATAATTCATGAATTACATGGTGGAGGCTTGGGTAGACACTTGGGTCGTGACAAAACAACAACTCTTGCTGAGGATAGGTACTATTGGCCCCAACTGAAACGAGACATTGACATTCATGTTAAAACATGCCCCATCTGTTACGCTGCCAAAGGCCAATCTCAAAATACGGTTCTGTACATGCCTTTGCCCATTCCAGGAACACATTGGGAGGATCTTTCCATGGACTTTGTCTTGGGCCTTCTGCGAACCCAGCGCGGATTTGATTATGTCTTTGTGGCGGTTGATTGATAGGTATTCCGAAATGACTCACTTTATTGCTTACAAAAAGACCTTCAATGTAGTGCTCATGGAAAATATATTTTTCAAAGAGGTTGTTCATTTGCATGGGATTCCCAAATCCATCACTTCAGATAGGGACACCAAATTCTTGAGTCATTTTTGGCAGACTTTGTGGTGGCGGTTTGAAACATCCCTAAATTTCAGTAGCACAAGTCATCCTCAGTTCGATGGTCAAACAGAAGTGGTGAACTGCACTTTTGGGAATTTAATTCGCTGCCAGTTGGCACATACAACGAGCTGCTAGACAAGAATTATGGTCCTTTCCAGATTGTGCAAAAAATTAATGATAATGCCTATGTCGTGGACCTTCCTGTAGATATGGTCATCTCTCCTACTTTCGAAGTTGCTGATTTGTCTGAATATCATCCTCCTGATGTGTCGTCTTCTCAATTAATTAACTCGAGGACGAGTTCTTTTCCAGTAGGGGAGAGTGATGTAGAACAGATTGCTGCTTAAGTTTAGGGTTTTTGATTTATGTTGTTAATTAAAATTTGTTTATTTTGGAATATTTAGTATTTTTCCTTATTTTAGTTATTTTTTTCCTAAAGTTCTAGTTCTAGTTCTAGTCGAATTAGGTTTTGCAGCCTATATAAAGGCTCATTCTTTTCGTTGTAAGGTTAACTTTTCATTCAATAAAGAATTTTTTTTGGTATCTTATTCTCTGAGCTCGTGAATTCGAGTGTTACATTTTTTGTTCGAGGAGTCGAACGATTTTTCAGGTTGGTGGCGGTGCCCTACTTCTTCATAAGCTTCCGCTACGTCAATATCTAATGTGGCACTGAGTAGTTTTGAATTAGTCCGTAATCTAGTTTAATAATTAGGGTAAATTATTTTCTGTTTGGAGAGTTAAATCCTGAACAGTGTAGTACACAATCTTGGATTATGGGATTTGCAGATTCATTATTTTGAGTTCGTGGATTCGTATTTGAGTTTGCGGATTGGTGTCAATTTCGCTCTCAATCCGTGGATTGACATCCAGAACGTGAGTTCGCTGAGTTTGGGAGATGAATCCTATGATCCAGGGTAACCCCTTGCCCAAGCTCCGTCGGACCTCCAACCTAATGCCCAGATTTGATAGACCCCCATTCCTAATGCCCAGCGCTGATAGACCCCCACAGTCCTATACCAGACGCTGATGGACACCACAACCCCATACCCAACGCCAACGGACACATCCAACACCGACAGTCACCCCCGCCGATATATCCAACACCGACGATCACCCCGATACCCAACACTGAGAGTTCTTCTTTTTTACTTGGTGACCTATTGGTATGGATGCGATAACACCTCACCTTCATGCTCAACTCCGAAAACCCTTCGATAGCAGTACCTATACCCAACGACGGCAATACCCCAAACCCCATACCTATCACTAGAAGTCCATCGCATCCATACCAACTTCGGCAGTCCTCTTAACCTCCATGCCACTTCCGGTGGTCCCCCAAACCCCAATCCCAACTCCGGTAGTCCCCCACCTCCACCAAACAAAGAAACCATTCAGTCTATACACCACACAATCAAACAAGGTTCATCCAAAAATTGACACCAAACACCAACACCACCCCTATATCTCAGCCATAGGTGCAAACAACAAACGCCAACACTCCCTTCCCCAAAACTTGGTATGGAGGTACTTCAATTTTACTTGCTGAACACCAATGGGTGGCGTAGTGGTCTGGTGGCTGAAAAGGACAAAAAGGGTGAGATTTTTTTGGTGTTTGTTGTTTGGCATAGAGTAGATGGGCGAATTTGTCATCAATGAAATAAAGGTCGTGAAATTCACTTGGCCAATTTTTGCCAAATTTAATTGAAATGGGGTAATTGATTTTAGTAAAAAACTTGAAGGGCAAATTGTTAAAATTGAAATTAAAAGGAGTTAATTACAACGTGACCCAAACTTGAAGGGAACATTTTTTAATTAACTCAACATTTTTTTTCTAAAGTTCTAGTTCTAGTTCTAGTCGAATTAGGTTTTGCAGCCTATATAAAGGCTCATTCTTTTCGTTGTAAGGTTAACTTTTCATTCAATAAAGAATTTTTTTTTGGTATCTTATTCTCTGAGCTCGTGAATTCGAGTGTTACATTTTTTGTTCGAGGAGTCGAACGATTTTTCAGGTTGGTGGCGGTGCCCTACTTCTTCATAAGCTTCCGCTACGTCAATATCTAATGTGGCACTGAGTAGTTTTGAATTAGTCCGTAATCTAGTTTAATAATTAGGGTAAATTATTTTCTGTTTGGAGAGTTAAATCCTGAACAGTGTAGTACACAATCTTGGATTATGGGATTTGCAGATTCATTATTTTGAGTTCGTGGATTCGTATTTGAGTTTGCGGATTGGTGTCAATTTCGCTCTCAATCCGTGGATTGACATCCAGAACGTGAGTTCGCTGAGTTTGGGAGATGAATCCTATGATCCAGGGTAACCCCTTGCCCAAGCTCCGTCGGACCTCCAACCTAATGCCCAGATTTGATAGACCCCCATTCCTAATGCCCAGCGCTGATAGACCCCCACAGTCCTATACCAGACGCTGATGGACACCACAACCCCATACCCAACGCCAACGGACACATCCAACACCGACAGTCACCCCCGCCGATATATCCAACACCGACGATCACCCCGATACCCAACACTGAGAGTTCTTCTTTTTTACTTGGTGACCTATTGGTATGGATGCGATAACACCTCACCTTCATGCTCAACTCCGAAAACCCTTCGATAGCAGTACCTATACCCAACGACGGCAATACCCCAAACCCCATACCTATCACTAGAAGTCCATCGCATCCATACCAACTTCGGCAGTCCTCTTAACCTCCATGCCACTTCCGGTGGTCCCCCAAACCCCAATCCCAACTCCGGTAGTCCCCCACCTCCACCAAACAAAGAAACCATTCAGTCTATACACCACACAATCAAACAAGGTTCATCCAAAAATTGACACCAAACACCAACACCACCCCTATATCTCAGCCATAGGTGCAAACAACAAACGCCAACACTCCCTCCCCCAAACTTGGTATGGAGGTACTTCAATTTTACTTGCTGAACACCAATGGGTGGCGTAGTGGTCTGGTGGCTGAAAAGGACAAAAAGGGTGAGATTTTTTTGGTGTTTGTTGTTTGGCATAGAGTAGATGGGCGAATTTGTCATCAATGAAATAAAGGTCGTGAAATTCACTTGGCCAATTTTTGTCAAATTTAATTGAAATGGGGTAATTGATTTTAGTAAAAAACTTGAAGGGCAAATTGTTAAAATTGAAATTAAAAGGAGTTAATTACAACGTGACCCAAACTTGAAGGGAACATTTTTTAATTAACTCAAAATAATTTAGGTATATCTTGATGAAAAATGTGTAATATGAGTAGTTTATAGTCAAAATTGTGTAATTTGGGTAAAGATTATGTTTCTGTCAAGTGAAGCATTGGGCCTACGCTCACATTATCATTTTTTTAGTAATAGCAGTATATAACCTAATACGGTGTGATTGTATATAAAAAAGAAAATGCTGTAACTCAAAAATATTTCAAGTTATTTCGAATAGAGAATTTTTTTATAAAATCGATAATGATCTCAACTAAATTTTATAATTAAATAAAAAATAATTTTACTGCGGATTTATGATTGTGCCCATTGATAGAAAAATTAGTGAAAATTTAATTTACATTTAATTCATACAAAATTTTAGAGATATTAAAATTTTTTATATTTTATTGAATTATATAATAAAGTTAAAATGTACTAAAAAAATTATTTTGTGTGTTTTTATTATGATTTTGTTTCGATTAAATAAAAATTGAATTTATTATTTCACAATAATTTTATCTTGATTCTTGCTTTTATTTTTCATTCTTGAACTGAACTTTTTTGTATCAATTTTAGCTAAATATTTTTTTATATCAATTATATTTTACCTCTCATAGATATTCTTGACTCTGCCTCTGAGACCAATATGTAGTAACTCCATTGGGTGTAACCATGAGGATGTACATCAACTGTGAAATGTCTAGTTTGAACCATAATTACTAACCTAGTTAGTTCGTCCCTACAACATCATTAAAGCTAATCAACTATTCCCATGGATTAAATTTTGCTTAGTAATCATATGAAAATCAGGAACAACGTTAAACGAATACAACTTATCACTAGATTATCAGTTAACAAGACATCACCTTCACATGGTATGAAAATGTCTCGCGAGTTGGGTTCAGACAAGGCTATGTTTGGCCTTGAACAATTTGATGATCCTCCCTTTCTTTCCCTGTTAGTTCCTTTGTGGGAAAGATTAGGGAAAAAAAAGTGCTTAACCATTTATTAAAGCCAACCCCTATCCAAATAGCATCTTTGAATCTCTTTCAATAAGGCTTAAAATTGAGTATAGGCCATTAGGGGTCATATTACTAACATTTAAGAACATTCAGCGGCAAAATTTTTAATCTTTGAGGTCTAGAAGTAATAAGTTATAAAAATCTTTCACATCCAAAACAACTTAGGGAAGTCGCATCCGTCCCATCGCAAGCACCTACACAATGTGATGATCACATTGGTTTATCTTTGATAGTTTAATACACAATTGCCCTTCCAACAATAAAAGGCAAAAATATTTCATATCAAAAAGTTATTGGCACTGTCGAATGACAGGTTCTGAAGTGTTTGTAAGACAACAAAACGACTCTACAATAATCTTCCTCAATCTTATATCCTGGAATAATTATCAATAACTCAAAATTCATCCTTTTTTGACAGAAAATACGAAACCCAGCTATAATTTATCTTGTCTTCCCTCTAATTTTTCCTTCTACTTACTATATCATTCAGTTTTATTTTGTTTTGGTGAGACATAAATCATAAATTATAAAGTGGTAATATGAACGAATTGTAACCAGATGTTCGGAATTTGAATCTTGACAACTCTTTGATTTTAGACCACGATTGATTTATCTGTTATGAATACCCTAATCCTGACGTGGATGACCTATTTTTAACCAGACTAGGGAGAAGACTAATTAAGATACATGTAAGTTAACCCAAAAACTCTTGATCAATAAAAAAAAAAAGAAAAAGAAAATACATAAGTCAATATGAGAAAAGGTTGCCAACTCTTGTTTGCCTCTGCTTACAAGACCGAATCGATGAAAATTGGGGCCTAAGCGGACCTGTTAAATAGGGCTGTCAACAATTCAATATAAATATTAAAACAATATATTAATAATTTTATTTGAAAAAATTATTGCTTTTTGCCTCGAAACATAAATTTTTACTACAATATAATCCACTTTATTTTTTGTAATATTTTCACCTTTATTTGTTTCACTTTAAATTACTTGATGTTCATTATAATTTTTTTTGTACAATTGTCTTGTTATTTATGATTGTGTTAAGTATGATGCATTGTTCAACCACTAAATCTTCGCTTCAAGTTACATATTTTTTATATTAGTGGTAACAAATATATAAATGGCTCTCCTTTTTTTGGATTAAATTAATCATTCATTTTCTCTTTTTTATGCTTTTCATACTGTAATTTATATTTTATCATGATCATATTCAAGCAAAACAAATATTTTAAAAATAAAACTCTGAATTAATAAATAGCTATACTAAGATCGAAATTTAATATATTATCTAATTAAGTAATAATTGAACAATTTGGTTTGTTAATGTTATTTTTGATAAACAATGTAATTATGTTTATTTTAATTGTGTAAATGCCAACAGCTTAAAGGGGGCATTAAATGGAGAGAGAGAGAGAGAGAGAGAGAGAGAGTGTTTTTGTGCAATAGTTGAGTGATTTTCACTTGCTTCACTCGGTAAACTTAGGACCCAAGAAATGTAGGGGCCCCATGCCTACCGAAAGTTAGAGCTGATTTGATCAAAAGGTTAAGTCTAAGAGTGTTGTTCTATGTTTTCTAGATTTTGAAGAATTCTTTTATTACATTTGGAATGTAAGCACAGTTAAGTAAATAATGAACAACACCCTTTTCAAAGTTGGATTTTTTCAGTACGTTATGGTATATAAAAATATTGTGACTTCTCTTATTAGAAGGTTGTGTGTTAATTTCGCTTGTAAATCGTACAAAATTCTGTCAATCAATGGAAGAATCAAGAGATTTTAACATGTTTGAGTATGCACATTCTCATTCTTCTCAACAAGTTTTTGATAGAATATAGAAATCTCTTTCCTCTTTCCCTTCCTCCTTGCTCTTTACCTTCTAAGTTGGGAAAGGTTGAGGGCTATATGAACATTTTTCACCATCCATGTGGAAAAAAGTTCAAAAGGAAAAAGGCATGACCAAGCTACCCTTTTTTTTTTTTTTGATTTAATGGTTAGAGGTGTTTGGACTAGCTTACGCATACTTTGACTAATCTCCTTTTAGGTCTGGTCACCTTTTTTGTCGGAATTAGAATATTTTTTAGGGATAAATCCTTTTTGACTTGACCACAAAGAGTTAAAATTCAAAATCAAAAAATTTGAATTTAAAACTCGTTCTACTATTACTTGAGCAACCTCAACGTTAAGCTCAACCTTTGCCTATAAGAACCATTCAATTCCAAGGCTTTTGTTTGCAGAAACTGCAAAGAAAACCCATTCCCTCCCTCCCTCCCTCTTTCTCTCTCTCTCTCTCTCTTGCTCTTCTTGGCCCAAAAATCCTCTTGATCCTCGAGCTTTTACCCCAACTCATGGGGTTCTAAAAAAAAAATACCCAAAAAAGGGTTGTTTTGAAAGTATTTTTCAAACTCTAATTGTTTTAAAAACGTCAATTAGAATGACGTTTTAGACCAAAAAAGGTCAGTTGTAATAACGTTTTTAAACTAAAAACGTCAGACCAACTGACCTTTTTTGTTCAACACTGTAAGGGCTATGCAAGACCTTAAAACGTCACTACAATTGACGTTTTCTTTGAAAATGTCAGTTCCACTTACGTTTTTCGCTAGATAGATTTTCTAATTACCTTTTCCCTCTTATTTCCTTCTTCTCTGTTATTTCGATTTTCTTCCTTCTTTCCTCAAATCAGTTTGAGCCCTAACCTCCTTCATGCGACTAGGTAGCAGCACCACCAACGTTGTTCAGTCCTGATTTTCTTATTATTTATTTCTTTCATTTATTAATACTTGTACAATAAGTAGAGCACTATTCAAATTATTATCATCAACCATGTTTGGCAGAGGCTATGAGAGCATTGATGTTTGGGAATTTTGATGGGTCTAAAATTTTCATGGACCCAACTTCCTCCCTAACAGGCAACCAGAAAGAAATCCATCCTACAGCAAGGTCCAAATATCTAATGGCTTCCCCTCCAAAGAACTTTTTTCCTCTGAGCTCTCCCTCTATCTTTTCTAAGACCTCCATGGCTGATTTCAGAGCATTTTCCTGTTCATCTCCTTGTGAACGCGTAGCTATCCATGCTGCGTTCAAAAGCTGTGCAAAAATAGTATCAGAGATCAGTATTCATTGTGAGCTTTTGGCTCTTATTTTCTTTGTTTGCTAAAAAGCTTGCTAATAGAATTACTATAAAAAGAAAAAAAAATATTATTGAAAAGGGCTCGAAAGTCAAAAAAAGGAAAGAATTAGTGTAAGACGGTAACTTATGCGGTTTTTGATAAAATTTAAAACTGAATTTGTAAACTGTTTGGTACCCATTAAAATTTAAGTATTGAATTGAATCAAATTGTTTGATAACTACGTATAGTTGATATCAAAAAATAAATTAATTTTTAATTTACCCTTCCACTCTTTATTTTGAAAATATTTATAAAATATACTTTTACTAATTGAATAATAACAAATTGAATAGTTTGATTGTGTGTGTGCACAAAGTGTGTGGGTGGGTATGTGTGCACAAAATGTGTGCCGTGCTTGTGTTTAGTTCTGTGTGTATTTGTGTGTGTGTAAT